CCCCTGAGCTCTCCTCTGTGCCAGCAGCTTCCCATTGCCGTGGGACTTTCTCACCCTGTATGGCCTGGACCAGAGGCACAGTGGTGTTGCAGGGTGATCTGGGCTGACTGGGAGCTGTGGTGCACATTTCTTCCCCACCTCTGCTGGGCAGCACATCCGCATCAGAGCAAAAGCAGACAGGATGGAGTCAATCTGTCTCCTGTCTTGGAGGTACTCTGCACAGCATGGAAGCAGCCTCTCCAAGGAGGAGCTGTGGTGCTACTGAGAAGCCTGGGGAGATTTCTGATGCTCCTTAGGGTAAATGTTTTGGCCATGAGCACAAACAAGCAGAAGAATTTCACACGGGCTGGGCTGTGCCCTGGCACAAAGAGCTCTTCAGGGAGCCCGATCCAACCTGAGCATCTCCCGGTCAGGGCAGAGTGGATGTGTTGGGCAAAATTCAAACTGTAGTCTCCTTGCAGGTTGCTGAGAAGGCAGCGCAGGTCATGGTGCACAGAGCAGCTCCCAGGGGTTTCTCACTGCCCTGCCCGCTGTGCTGACCCCTGCCTCGAGCAATGAGCAGAACTGATGGCAAGGTATGTGGAGGGCTGGCTGCTGGGGGATATTTAGAGGGATGGTCTGAAACATGGCACATCTCTAGTAAGCCTGGGCTCCCCAAGTCCTCCAGGACAAATCCCTGCCTGCAGGGTGCAGCCGCAGTCGCTCTGTAACGCACATACAAAAGCGTGTTACAGCTGCAGGCTGCGCAGTGTCGCTGCCGCCGAGCTGCAAGTGCATTCCTTAGCTCTGGCTCTCCCCAGGTCCCACGCTACATGGCATCACCTATTTATAACTGCATGCACTGCAGAAATAATATTAGACTGATGGCCTCACACAGTCACGCTAACTGTTATTCTATTTTTGTGATTTGCTCTTCTTCACAAGCTGTTGGTCTCCCAGATGCCAAACCACTATGCATAGCATAGACAAAGACTCAGACTTTTTTCTTAAAATCTTCACCAGTGGCACCGAGTCTCAGGTATATTTACCATTTTTTCTCCAAATCACCTGGAGTAATTGTATCTACTATTCCTTCCCCAGTCTGATCGATACCCTTGGTAAATAAGATAACCTGTCAGGTCTGTTGTCCCTGTAGCCAAAGGTACTTTAGCAATGAAATTGTTTTGCTGAAGAAATAAATGCCTCTCGCTGAATCTGAGGATGCTGTGACCTTTCATTAGTGACCTGAGTGACTCATCCCTTTTTGTGTGCACACTGCAGCCTCCCACCATGCCATAAAAGATGCACTACAAAGTCCTGCTGCCTGGTGCCCAGTGTAACAGGAGGCGAAACCTGCAGGAGCCTCCTGCTCACGCTGCTTCTCCTCCGGCTTCACACGTGCCACCTCGGCCTGGGCCTGGGGGCTCCCACCTTATGGAGATGCCCTGTGTGCACGGCGGATCCCTGTGCACCATCTCAGTCCCACAGTGATGTCTCCAGCACCCCCAGGCCTTGTCCGAGCAGCAGATCCCACTGCCTCAGGCTGTGGAAATCTCTGACATAAAAGTGTAAGCCCATGTTTTCAGCACAGGGCAGCCAACCCACCCTTTTTCAGCAAACAGGGCTTTAATGGGCATACCAACCCCCCTGAAGTGAGGCGGGCAGCTCGGGCAGTGCCTGATTTCAGCCAGAGGCCATGTATCACACACCATGAACTCTCTGTTCACCGCTGGGGGCAAATCCTCCTGCTCCAGCGGGCTTACACCTTGTAGCTCTGCAGCCAAGAGCTGTTAAACAAGGCCTGGCCATCATTTTGCTGAACTGAAGGAGTCTTTTGCAAGTCCTGCAGCACTCACTGTTCACTCCTGCCCCCCACGGGAGCCTCTCACCCCCTCGCTTTGCTGGGTGCCTCATGGAAACACAAAGATCCTGGAAACGTGACTGTTTTTAGAAACCTGTACAAAGTGAAATAAAGAATGAAACAGATTGGATTCTATGCATTTAGCTGCTGCAGATAGCGATATTTTCTTCTTGTAGAGTGTTTTGCATGCCAAGAAAAACAGTTTTGCATTTTAGGAAAAGAAAGTGTTTTACATCTGTGCCTCTGCACGTGTGCCTGTTAATTCTGCCTGAATGGTTTTCCTAGGCTGTCAGCTCAAAAGTTCTCTTTCACTTAACAAATCTTGACTGTGTGTGCAACAAATCCTCAGCCAAGAGGAGTTTATTCAATGAAGCAAGAAACACTGGCAAATTTACAATTTTGATCTCAATCCTATTAATGTCAGCAGGAAAGTTCCCACCATGTTTGGTTTGTTGGTTGGGTGTAATCTGGGTAAGGGAGTTAAAAATCCTCGTTTGGGTTGGATTTGTAGACAAGTTAATGGCTCTGCTTTGCTGTGCCAGTCTGTGGGAAAAGCACAGTACAGGTGGGATTCCTCTCACCTGATTTTAGGCATCTTCAAGTCCAGCAACAGCTAGCCAAGGGAGGGAAAGTGGAACATTCAGAACATCTTAAACCAGGAGCCCAAAAGAGTTGAAATTAATTTATTTCTTCCTGCAGAGACACCTCACCCGGTGGTGTTAGATGAGGAACCTGACAGTGCTGGGAGGTCTCTGCAGCGGAGGGAAAGGACCTCACACAAAGCCAGCCCTCGAGCGGGTGGGTGCCGACCCAGGCACTGCCGCAGCCGCTCAGGTCCTCTCCCTGTGCTGCTGCCAGCCAGGAGCTGAGGCTGACGCCTGGTTCAGGGTGCAACAGCACAGCAGCTCTGGTGGGCACTGACCCCCTCCTGCCAGCAGCAAATGGTTGTGCATGGCCCTGCCCACGGCTGGCAGAGCTTCTGGGAGAAGGGGAAGAAGGAATATGGCAGCTCCCCACCTTCCCTGACCCCTCACCCACTCGCAAACGTGCCCTATGTCCTCTCCTCCCCGTGCCACAAGTGGGGACTGGCACAGAGGAAGAGCTGCCGGTGCTGGTTGCTCCAGGGACAATCCCACCCCTCTGGTCCCAGGGGATAAAGAGCACTGGGGAGGTTTTGAGGGGTCAGCAGTGCCCACACATTTTGAGCAGGTCCCCAGCAGTGACCATGCACCTGCAGTGTCCGCAGAGAGCAGCGGCTACTCTGTGGAAGGAAAGGAGCCTCTCTTGGCAGCAAGGACTGGAGGGAGGAGGCTGCTTTGCTGCAAAAGCCAACCAAGGAGGCTCATGTGCCAGTAATAGGCCCTTAATTACACATACGTCTAATGAAGGGAAGGAGCTCATCCCTTTAATGCATAAGGGGAAAGCACTATTGTTTGAGAATCAAGGGGGCTGCAAAGCAAGAGATACAAAAAAAATCCCAACAAAACAACCCCAGTATCTCAGGGGCATCAGCCCAACACACGGATCCTTAATGGCTTTTGCTGATTTGACAGATGCAGAACACAGAAAAATGAACAGATTTATGGCTGCAACTGTCCCCGGGGCTCAGAAATGCTTCTCAGGATACAGATCTTTAAATCATCATTATCTATGACATGAGGGGGCACTGGAGAAGACAGAGTTGGGCACAGCGATGCAGGGGGTGAGCAGGGTTTGCTGGCACTTCCTACACAGCACTCCTTCCCCGGGGGGGCAGTGATGCTTTATTTCAAACCATCTCCCATGGGCTCTGGGGAGCCAAAGATGGTTCTGTGGAGAGCTGTAGCACCTCGGATGGGATCCATGTATGAACACAGCTGGGCAGCTTTTGGAGGTATGGGTATTTTTCTCAGGAAAGGAGAAGAGTTCAGAACGCTGGAGAAGCCCAGATCTGGGGAGTGTGTGCAAGCAGCAGAGGCCAGACCTGCTTGTAAACGTCTCAAAAATCTTTTATACTACAGAGACAGAAAGTCTTACTTGGGAACTTAAGCTTTGTCTTTGGGTTTCCTCTGGATGAGGTGGGAACTGAAAGTTTCAGGGCTTTTCTGGACCCCTGCCAGGTGCTGAGCAGACTCTGGGGACCCAGCGGAGCGCACGCCTGGCCCCGCGATGCCCTGGCCCAGCTGCCTGCAGTCTCGCCACGCAGGCAGGCAGCGCTCCCGGCAGCTCCCTGTCTGCAGAGCCCTGGGAATCTTGTCACCACTCCCTGCAGCAGGCGGGCCCCAGCTCCAGCCCGCAGGCCAGCTGGCTCCTGCGTTCCTATAAAGCTTTAACAGAAGCCAGACGACTAGCAAGTGAAAGCATTAGGTGTTTATTTGTACTTTAGATACATTAACCCCGTCTGAAATCCAGCCGCGGCTCCCACCCCGCAGCAGCAAAGGTGGGTCCATGCAAGGAGCAGCCGAATGTGATAAACATCAGGCTTTGGTCCAAAGTGCGCAGCGTCCGTGGGTCAGCACTTTCCCAGACCAGACTGATTTTAAATCACGATCCACTTCCTTCAGCGGAGCTGCTCCTCTGTTACACATCACAGTGCTCCTTTCACATGAACCAAAACGTTCAAGCTGTTCATGGTGGAGATCACGAAAAGCAAAAACCAAAATGCCACTCTGGAGTCTCTGCTGCCCTTGAGGCAGAGATCCCCACGGTCCCCACCCCGGTGACAGCAGGTGGACTGCCCTCACCACTGAATCTTGCCTTTACAAGCCTTCAAAACAGCATTGCTTCTCTTTTTTTTTTGCATGTCTTATTTTTAATAGACATGTCTAATGCCTTCACAAGGCTGGATGCAAGAGTAAGATGCAGCCACCCACCTGAAGATTTCAAAACTCTCCTGGGATTTACCTGCTGAAAGCAGAGGTCCAGGCTACTGCAGTCATTTGCCTTGAAAAAAAAAAAAAAACAAAAAAAAACCCAACAAAAACCAAAAACAACCCAACCAGCCTCCAGAAACTTTAAAATGCCAATTTGTTGTTGTCTGCTATATGCTCTTCCAAAAGAGAGTGAGTAATGCTGAAATTCTTTCTTCTTCTGTGAAGGAGGTGGGCAGTAGAGGATAACACAGAGCCTGAAGCAGCTCAGTCACCCAGGAACAACTAACCCAGGAACTGGTACAGCTTAGTCATATATTCATTAAAATATCAGGTTTTAAATATTTCCATTTCCAAAGAATGATGATGAGGAATGGGATGATGAACCCAGTCACGGTGATGGCTGCAGTGTATGGCAAGTAAGCCGCCAGGTTCTCATGCCCTGTCGTGTCGTGGCACCGTGTCCCCATATCATCCATCTTGCTGAAGGCAAAATCGGGAGCTACCTGTGCAATGACCCATACCCAGACCATCACGCTGAGCCACACCGAAGAGGTTGTCCCCTGGTACCTGCCCCATGCCTTCAGCGGGTGCACGATGCCCAGGTAGCGGAGGACGCTGATGCAGGTGAGGAAGCCGATGCTGGCATAGAGGTTGAGGTGGAAGAGGCCCCGGGTGATCCGGCACCAGCTGTGTCCGAAGAGCCAGACTCTGCCCCGCAGGTAGTAGCTGACAAGGAAGGGCAGCGTGCTGACGTACAGCAGGTCGGCCAGGCTCAGGTTGCCTACCAGCAAGCCAAGGGGATGGCGGGCGCCCCGCCGGGGCCCGGTGCAGAGGTGCCACAGCCCCAGCCCGTTCCCCACCAGCCCCAGGGGGATCACCGACAGGTAGACAGCGGGCAAGAAGCGCTGGGCGAAGGCGTCGTCCACGGGGCACAGTGCCCTGCTGCCATTGCCGAACCATGGGCCAAGAATCTCCATGGCCATGGGGTGCTGTGGCAGCCCTGCCCACGGTGGGGTGGCTGCTCCCGGGGCGGTGCTGGTCGTGGCCGTGCTCGGAGGTGCCACTGCCGGGCACAGCGGTGGCTGTCGCCGGTGGCAGGGGCGGGGCGGCAGCGGCAGCACCGTGCCCAGAGCTGGCCCTGGCAGCCGCCACGTGCCCCGGCACAGGCTGGGGCTGCCCTCACCTCCCTGCTCCGGCCGGGCCCCAGCCGGGGGGTTTGGGGTGTGAGGGTCTCCCCCAGAGCGTGGGGAAGATGTGGCGAGGGCCGCCTCAGCGGAGAGCCTTGGTGTCC